ACAAAACAAAAACAAAAACAAAAAAAAAAAGAGGGGGGGAATTGGGAATTTTTTAAATTTTTTGATTTATAGATATTGGAACCAGATGGGTGCCAGCGAAATGGGTGAGACCTTGGCTGGAAGCAAACTCGCCTAGATCAGATGTAGCAGGCAAGCAACCAGTACCCTAGCTTTGGAAAGTGTGAGCCTGCAGAAGGAAAACATGGGAGGAAGAAGTGTTACTGTTGTTATTAGCTGTATGTTGTAGCTTTTAGGAGGTAGTATTGCTTTTAACGCTATTATAGGGGTTAATGCTGCTTTTAGCGCTAATGGATATGTTATGCTTTTTAGGCAGATTGTTAATTATAACCAAATCAAGAGTTGTTGGCTTTGTGGAACAGCAGATCAACTCGATGCACCGGTGTTAGGTATTAAGTGTTGGGATGGTGTTGTTGATCCTATGTTGCATTCTACTAGTTGTGCCTTGCTTATTGAAATGTGTATCAAATATGATTGAGAATGCTGTAAAGAAGGTTTGGCTGGCTACAATCACTGAGCAAAACGGGTTTGATGATTCTACTAATCTTGTGCATTTTGGTGGTCGTTCCCTGCCTGATTAAGTGTCTGAGACAGACGGTAGACAAGGCGATCAAAGACATATTTTGGGTGAACCATCAAGAATTCTGGCTTGCTCAAAAACAAGAAAGGGGAATTGTGGGGTTTCTGAAGGCCAGTGGTCATGCTGTGAGCAAGCCAGATAAGGGCAGAAGGGCGCCAGGCCTAGCTGAAAGGGTGGAAGGACTGCTGACTAAGAGATAAGGAGATCTTGCGGAGAGTCAGATAAGGAGGCAAAGAGTTGAGACAAACAAGTAGAGGGGGACGGTCGTTAAATGTGAGGACACGTGGGCACTGTTAGTCAGCCTCTGTTAGTTAGCCTATCACACTGTATAGTTAGACGCATGGACGCGGGGTCTTGACCAATCATTGTAAAGAAGCGCTCGCATGTACGGGGAAATCTTGCATAGAATTTCGTTGACGCAAGTAAGAGCTAACCTATCCTGAGCTCAAGCTTTGCAATATGCATGAACCTAATTAAGCTATGTATAAAAGTGCACACTGAGTGTTCAATAAACGAGTCTTGTCGATGACCATATGGTGTCGCAGTCTCCCTTTCTCCTACAGGTGTCTAAGGCTGAAGGAGTCTGGGCTGCTTCTCACCTCTCGCACATAAAAGTTACTCCCCCAGAATTACCCATCAGTGGCAAGGGCACATGGATATGCAGCAGTGCAAATTAATGAGAAGGAGGTAAATTATTTTTTACAGGTTTTGAACTTTCTTGGAGCTTCTTTGAATTTATCCCCAAAAATACACTAAAAGTGCCACAGCGTTGTCTCCTCTGAATTGCAGTACCATGTAGATGTTCACAGGGTCTTTACCCACCTTCCCTAACAAAATTTCCTGGGATTGACTTTCCCAAGCAGAATCTCCTTATCCACCTGCGTCCTGCTCTGGGCTTAGGGAAGCTATAACCTGATTCCATGAGTTAAAAAGTTATGTTTTGTTCTCACAGTACTCCAGTGGGAAATCTGCAGATTCATGAAAACATCCAGTCCTCAGCCCACACTGCTCACTAATTTAATCTTTACTTCTTTGTTCTTTTTATTAGCCCCAGGGTATTCTTATATTCACAACTAACTCTATTCTCCAGCGGTATTCTAATTCCCAAAGCTAGTCTAAGAATGGATCTTTGCCCTCTCGTTGTTTCTTCATACTCACCCATATTGTATCTATTCTATTTTCATCTGTATGTTTTTTTTCTGCTGCCTGGACTGTAAAGTCTTTGGGACATAGCATTTTTGCTCTGTGTTTGCATTGCACCCAGCACAGTGGTGTCCTGGCCTGCAGTGAGAGCTCTTTGGAGCTCTTATGATAACAATATAGGGTACTTTTCCCTTGGGGGAGCTGCTTGCTAGACATGTAGTTTTCATTTGAATCCCAGAGCCTCCAAGCCTGTGAATAATGGGACATTCAGCTGCTCTGATAATAATAGGGAGATGATAAGAATCAAGGACCAGCCAGGTGGTAAGTCACTATCCCTTAGCAGAGGAAGTGTGTGGTCTTAGTTAGCCCCATGGTGATATGCAATACCCATCTTACAGCATGCAGGATGGTTTCACTTACCACTGTGATTTAAGCTAACAGTAGCAACCCGCACTTGAAAATGTTGACCAAAACACTCTACCAGCTCAGGTCATGTGCCTGCATGAGGTGCTGCAGTAGCCCTAAGCACCAGTGTGTAAAAGCATCAGGTTCCAGGATGTTTTATGTAAAAGAGGACATTACTAGGCTGCCAACTGCAAGCATGAAGGGACAGCTTTTTAAAATTCCTCCATAAAATTTGCCATTTTGAAGTACTGAATATCTCTGTATTGTTTCTGTAAAGCCTGTTATGCATGTAGAATCTCCTCTGCCTGCAGAATGAGCTGGTTCATACAGATGTCATCAAGCTGTCAGTAGAAGGAGCAACGATGCAGGGGCTAGAGGGACTACAGTTGCAAACGCTTGGTAGGAACCCAAGTCCTTGCCATGCTGATCAATTACTGACACGAAGTCTCTAATCAGTCATTTCGGAGAATTAAATTGGGGTAGTGAGTTGCAAGGGAGCTAAAGAAATGTTACTCCTCCTTGCTTTGATTATGTAGTAGGGCAAAATCTGTCTGGAGCAGAAGCCACTAATTGAGGTCAAGGTTTGCTGTTTAAATCTGTCTTTGCTTGAAGAAAAGATGAGCATCCATTCCAAAAAATAAATGTCTAGTTTTGCTGTGAAATCTTAGTATGGACAAGACATAGGGCTTTACCTTTATTTGTCAAAACTAAATCCACTTTTTTGCTCCTACCAGACATTGGTCTGGACTAGCCAAATCAAGATGAAAAGCCATCTCTCCTGTGCATGCTTCTTGACTGGCCTGTGGTGGGATATAGCTCATCTGACTTTTGCTGTTTAGATTTCAGCATCTACTCTGAGCCAGCTGGCTGGACTCCCTCTGTAGAAAGTGGAGACAGTGCAATACTTCCAGGCTGAATCCTCTCATCTTGCCCCTCCTATGTCTGAGATAGGATGGGATGGGTCAGCTCTGGAGGCCTTAGACTGCACAGGGAGCCTTGAAAAATCCCTTATATCCTGTAGAAAATACCTCTTTTGGCATGAAGCAATGGCCTGGGTTTGCAGAAGGCACTTGCTCTGCATTTAAGGATCACCGTCTTTCTAGGCTAATAATTGATAGGTAATGTATGTTGGTGAGAAGTCTTTGCTCTGCCACACAGTTTGGGAGAGACCAGCTAAAGCAGTACAGTGCAAAACTCCCAGGGGCTTTGAGATTATTGGTTAATGTTACCAGGCAATAGATTTTCAAAGACTTGCCTTGAATATTTAACAATCTATTTAAATGTTAAAAATGCAGACAGCATTACTGGGTTGAAACGACCTTAACAATTCCTTTGTGGTTTTCTTTTTTCTTTTTTTTTTTTTCCTAAACATTTAAGACATAAGGCTGTTTTTGACTGCCTTTGCAAAATGTTCTCTGCTTCTGAGTCTTGTCTGCTTGTCCCTGTTCCTCCTCTGGTGTCTACCCTGATGTGGCTTCCCTGATGATCAACATCCCCAGATTATTGCAGCACTCCTCAGATACCCCATCTTCTGCAAGGACCCTCCTATCACCACCATGTCTGCTCTTGGATAGAGGGTCTCTAGATGCAACCGCTCCCCTTCCTCTGTGCCCAGCACCTTCTCCATTAGTGATTAGTGTCCACTTACCTGCTGATACCTGCATGCCTGATGCCCCTGGAGCTGCAGGTGTGTGTGGCTTCCCTCTTTAGTGCATTTGTCCTGCAGGCAGAGCGTGATGAAGGCTCTGAGCTCTCCAGTTAAGCATGAACCTCGCTCCTGAGAGGGTTCTCGGTACTTAGTGCCCGTCATGGAATGTCTCTTTCAATTCTGCCTTCTGCTTCCTGTGGCTTTTCTTTTAAAATGGAAATGAGATTGCAAGTTGGATTTCTTGGATAATGTTGCACCTGCCTTGGGAGTGGAAGCCCAGAGATCTCACAGAGTCACAGCCTGTTGTGACTGATGCCTGTATAAAACACAGGTCACAATGTTGCTTGATTCAGGACTTTTGAAATCAGGTAGGGGTTTCAGCACCTGGTGAAAGATTTCTTCATGAATCATACCTGTTGCTTTTGGCTTTATGGAAATGAGCCTGCTAAATGGCTTCTTAGCTAAGGGTGAAAAGGACACAAGGAGGCATCATATGACATTTCCTCTCTGGATGCTCTTAGGCATAGGAAGTCATTTATATTTTTGTGAAAAACAAGGAAGCAAAAAAGATCTGTTCTTCACTAATCTGTTAGAAGGCAGACCTAATCCTGATGACTCTTACATTTGTACCAGGCATTTAAAATTCATAGCAGAATGAATCCCAGTTTTGGGACAAACACTATTAACATTCACTGCTTCCACCATTGCCTGGAGAATGCTGCTGTCCTGGAGCTCCACAAAGGTGTCAAGAGCAGTTGGACTCTTGGAGACCTTAGGGACTTTCAGAATCAAAGACAGAGACTAAAACCTAGCGGGAAGTTTGGTGCGACTATGTTTGAGAATGGGAATAAAAGCAATGTATGAGGGCAGAGTGCAATGCTGATGTCTTTTCTGTACCTAGCAGCAGCCTAGAAGTTACGCAGAAGAGAAGTCTGGGTTTGAACCAGAAGCTGGTGTCTCTGGAACCGTGGGAAATGTTTTTGAAAAGAAGCTCTGTTTCTGAACAGCTTTGTTATCTGTTTGGGTGCCTGAGGTTGACCCCAGAGAGCAAGAGACATTGTCCCTCGGGTGCCATTGCCTGCAGAGGTCACCTGGCAGGCACTTCTAATCACAGATCCATGTCAGCTCTTCATGGAGCTCAGGGTTACGTTTTGTATAGTCTGAACTCCCAGAGACAGCCTCAGGGTTCCACAGGCTTCAGATCTCCTCACTAACTGATCCCTGGCACCAGTTGGAAAGGCAGCTCACACTAATGGGTATGGGGCAGGTATAACTCAGCTCGAACCTGTTCCTGACCTGCCATACAACTTTCTTTAAGTCCATTCACCCTTCTCCTGGTTCCCTTGTTCTCTTTGTCTATGTTTTCTTGAGGACAGGAGCAACTCAGGAAGTGGTTCCAAAGCAGCAGCTCTGATTTCTGCTGGGGGTGTCTGGCTAATAAATCGCTTCTGAAAACCTTGGCAGCGTGTGTGCGCCATAGGCAGGGAATGTGTGCAGGGCAGATGAACCCAATCTCTTGTCTGACAGTTCTTTCTTCTGTTAACAGGCTGTGGGACATCATTTGATTTTCACAAAATTCTCATTGGTACTGAAGAAGGGAAGATCTATAAGGTAAGAATGGTTTCTTTGTCTCTTGCTTTACATTCCCTTGCCATCACTCATCTTTTAGGTTCATCATCTGGACTGTTTGTTCAGACAGCAACAAAGTACAACTTCAGAGGCCAGGCCTGCCCTCAGATCCCTATGGTAAGCCCAACACCACGTAGAGCCCCAGAGGCCTGTGAGGAGCATTCTGTACAGACCCAATTAAGACCTTTTTTGCAGACGTTTTTCATGTAGGCTGCAACCCAGAATGCTGTTCAGATTGCAGCTGTGCGAGTGAGGTACCAACTGATCAGAGCAGGAGTTAAAAGGCACCGATCCTCTGCCCTTATGGCTGTGGGGAAATGGCAGGAGAAAAATCTCCTCTCTTCTTTTTAAACCTGTTATCCTATGAGCAATGAGGCTAATGAAACCTTTTTTTCCCCCATGGATTGGTGTCCTGCAGCCCTCTCCTTCCATAGTTACAGCCTTGGACCTCCTCTGAGCCCTACATTCCCCTTGGCCTCACCTCCAGCTTTTCGCCATCTCTGATCCTTCCTCCCTCTGGTCACCCTGTGCTCCCCCATTTTAATGCTTGCAATACCATGCTGTAGCCCTTGTTTTGCTCAGATACTGTCAGCTACCTCCCTTCCAGTGTCCACCTGCAGCCTGACACCACAGTACCCGCTGCTGGCTGGGAGTGCTTGGCCAGCTCCTGTCAGGTGGACAGAGCAGCAGCTGAGTTTGATTGTCCTTCTCTGGGCTAGGCACTGCCTGGGGTTTGCACTCTTCATGACCACCTCTTTTTATGAAATACATAAGATCTCAAGATAGCCAAGGCCCTTGTACCACCAGCTTTGACTGAAATTGCAAGTAAGGTCAAAAGTTGTTTGGGAGAAGAGACAAGCAGACAGCAGGTCACAGCCATTGTGGTTTCTTAAGAAACCAAGCTAAAAATAGAAAGTTTTGAGCTCTGTTGTATGTAGCCTTGCAAATAAAGCCAGTAACAGCTCATGTTACTCATAATAGTTTTGTTTGTGCAGGATTCCTCTCAGCTTGTTTTGGGGCTCTGTTAATGTTGTAGCCACAGCCCTTCAGCGAGGGGGGAATGTCCCATCAGCAGGGCTGATTGGCAGAGCAGAACTGGCCAGCCCTCTCTAGAGGTGGCTGTGAGCTCCCTCCCCATGTGCCCCTGCAAAACAGAGGGTGAGCGGAATGCTCAAGTTTGTGTATTCACCAATAAGGGGATTTCCCCACAGTCTGGCTGAAGAGCAGGACAAAGGGAGGGGAGACTGAGGGGACAAAAGAGCCATCTGCCAAGAGCTGGGGGCCTTTACAAAGGAGGGAAATAGGGGAATTCCCTCACATTCTTCAGCAAGGGGGACAAAGGAGTCAGGTGACCTTAGGTGAGAACAGATGGCAGGAGGCAGGAGTTTGGTATAGGCGGGCCGGGAAGGCTGTAACTTCTGAGTACCTTGGCCAATGGGGAAAAGGAGAGGGTGTCCCTCGGTCGGGAAATTAGGATAAAAGGGGGGCTGTGTCCTCCAACAATTTGAGAGACCCCACAGGGATATGCCCGGGGGACTCTCCCTTTATTCGAATGAAGTTTTAGGACTCCTCTGTCTCCTTTTTGGACATTCAGTTCCTGACAGCGAGATTTTCTGCACAGAGGGGAAAGAAAGAAATAAAGAGAGAGAAAAAGAACCCAAAGAAAATCCCATTCTGAAATCAATATCAATCATTTAGGCAAGACAAAGTTAGTAGATATGTATCCCTTATAGAGGGACAATGCTGATTGAAGTCCTTCCTTCTGCCAGTCTGTGAGACTTTCTGAGTTGAGTCACTTTCCTTTGACAAGACAGACACAGAGGGAAATGGGAGAGATGGGGATCTGGGGTGAAGGACGATGGGGGAGGCGAGATGGCTTTTTGCTGATGCTCTCAGGATACAAAGCAGCTGTTCAATCACAGACAGATGTTTGGAGCTGGCAGATCACCCACAGTGGTTGGCACCCTGGGTATTGCTCTCCAAGCTGTTTGGGTCCTGTCGTAGCTTGTCCTGACAAGAGGCAGTAATGAACCACACGTTCAACTTTGTGCTTACACACATGAGGGATGTCAGTGTATATGACTGCATATGTCAGTCTTAGGTGGGGTCAGTCAGTAGCCATTCAGGAGAAATGTTCAGGCTGACATTCAAGGGAAATCCTCAGTGGAGCAAGATTGAATAGGAATAGTTTGGCAGGGTTTGTATAGACAAGGCTGTAGGTCTGCCTGCCTTGGATCATCTGCAGTGAAACTATACTTAGGATGGAGTTTTAGCATAAGCAGTGAGCCCAACAATGAAGCCATTTAGGCATTTAGCTACTTCTTGGGTGGACAAACACAGAGATACCTCTTACATTTCTCTTAAATCTGTTACATAGGAACTTTACTTTTGTTAGTGTTAAGGCTAATTTCAGGGTTACTGACAAGAAACAAAACATTCTTGTAGTATTGGTGAGCATTAGAGGAATATTGGACCATTCTTGCTTTGTGTAGCGCTTGCATATACAATGCAGGTGTTCCCGTAATAAGGGAACAGCAGTCCTCTACCAGACTGTATGGGGTAAGTCAGGGAAGAGGAATCTCCAGTGTCTCACACAGCAGGTCTCCATAGTACCCACAGAAACAGGGGGAAGAATGCCTGGGCCTTCAGTACCCCAAGAGCCCGTTACAGGCAGTTTCAAAAGTTTGAGGATCAACAGGTCACTGCTGCTGCAGACATTTTGCCTGGACTGCCACACACCTTCCTCGTTGCTCTTTTTATTGAAACACGGTACATCTTAACCCTTTGCTGGAGCTAGCTGTGGTCCGCCTCCCAAAGCCTTGTCCCGCTCTGCTGCTGAGGGCAGTGACAGTCCTGCCATCCTCTGGGCTGCTCTCAGGCTGTACAGCTGCCCTGAGCTGCAGTGAGCTGCTCAGGTCTCTGCAGCACTTGCCTGTTGCCACGCGTATTGAGTAAGAGGGACAGACTCCTTATATGCTGTACAAGTCAAGGATCAAGCACAGGCCATATTATAGATGATTTATTAAATAAATTGAAAAATGAATTTCAGAAAGGCATTTTTTTTCTCAGAGACAGGGCTTGCCAACAAATAGCATGATAATGTGTTGATTCTTTAGCTGCGGAGCAATTATGGTGATTTTTTTAAAATGGTTTCATTAATAGTGTTTCTAATGCCAAGTAATTGTTATCTTAATTACACACAGGCCTATCTATTGCCCTTTTACATAGAGGACAAACTGTTTCTGCATTAATTTGATTTTGTAATGCAAAGCTGCCTTTTTGCATATCTCGCTGTTGAGGAACTGTTTAGCTCTGTTATAAGAAATGATGGTCCTTGATATTCAGATTGAGATGTTGTTGTGACTGTTGTGGCTCTTTGATCAAAATTACTTCTTAGTCATTAGGACTTCAACAGAAAACTTGTGAGGAGATTTGACATGAAAGATTTTCAGTCTTAGTGAGTTTGTCTGAGAATGTAATAAAACTCAATGAAAAACTGTATAGAAAGGAAAGGTGGTTTTTATTTTAAGCAAAACTAATTTCACTCACTCATTCTCTTACACCAAGATATTTGTACCTGTGGTCTGGCCAGGATTTCTTGTGGTCATACAGAAGGCAAAGGATGGCGGTTGTTGAATCCTCTTCACCTCATCCTGGGTTTTCCTTCATTGGCAATGACAGGTTGAGTTTTGGACATGCTCTGACTTCCAGTGCCCCTTTAGGAGCAGAGAACTGTTGTCTTATTTTGCCTCAGTATCTTTTCTCACCATGTCTGAGTCTTAAGTAAAGGTGTTTTCCTTATCTAGATATTTTATGACTTGAGTTCTGTTCCTCATCTTCTCACCATCTTATCTTTTCTCAGTTTGTTCTATGTCTTGTTATCTGGTCACTTCAATGACTACATTTGCTGTCAGTTAACATAATTAACACAGGGTCATTCTTTTACCATTTCCTGCTGTTTCTCCCGATACATTCATCTGCATCTATCATATGAGGAAAGACTAGCAAGCTGGGGCCTGTTTAGCCTGGAGAAGAGAAGACTGAGAGGAGATCTGATCAATAGGTATAAATACCTGAGGGGTGAATGTAGGGAGGATGGGGCCAAACTCTCCTTGGTGGTGGCCAGTGACAGGACAAGGGGTGATGGGTACAAGTTGAAACACAGGAAGTTCCACCTCCATATGGGGAAGAACTTCTTTCCTGTGAGGGTGATAGAGCCCTGGAACAGGCTGCCCAGAGAGGCTGTGCAGTCTCCTTCTCTGGAGATCTTCCAAACTCGCCTGGATGCCACCCTGTGCTACGTGCTCTAGGTGTCCCTGCTGGAGCAGGGGGATTGGACTAGATGATCTCTAGAGGTCCCCTCCAACCTTAACCATTCTGTGATTCTGGGACACTCTGAAGCATCATCATAAGAGAAGAGGTTTTAGAGCAAGTAGCTCACGAGCATGAGTTGAAGTCCATTCGCTCTCATGTTTTTGTGAGATAGAGGCTGTGTCCTTCATGACTAATGCAGTGAAAGCAGGGTAATGTTATGGCAGCCCTTAGTAAATATTGATAGCCTCAAGATAAATACCATCCAAGCGTACACTCTGCAAAGAAAGCTGCTCAGACATGTGCTCCCAGGCTTCCCTCCCCTTCACTGAAGCTGTTGACCTTTCAAGATATGAAATACTTGAAATGACTCAAACCTTCAGGAAATTAGTTAATGTTTTGTGTTGCTCAGGAAGCAAGTATGCCCTTTCCTGCCTATATAAGCATATTTTACTGAACAAATGTTTTGTTTGGAAAATCTTGAAGACCAGATTCCTGTTGTATCTCACTTAAAATATAAGATGCTGCAGAAACGCCTGTCATCTTGGTACCTGTCCTTTCCCTGCTAGGAGAGAAATATTTGTTTAGTACTGGCATCTGTGTCTGCTCTTGGAGCAATTCTCAGCAACTTGCTGC